GAAGCTGAATGGTGTAAGAGGATGTTACTCCGACGTCCCGTAAATTAATAAAAGTGAAAATTAATATAGGAGGTATTTTACGTGGTAGAACCGTACTACATATATTTTGGTTATAGTATGAATGGGTAGGCTCAACCGGGAAAGGACCTCTCACAGAATACGAGCATAAAATAGTAGCTTAATGCTCCTTTGTTTCGTGTGTTGAAACTGGAGTGGAAGAACTGGAGGCCCCTTTCACTGGAAACGAGGCATTCCATCTTAGTCCTCAGGGATGACAACGCATCTGCATTTTTATTCTTATATGAGGTTAGATGTAGACGCCAATGAGCCACAACACCAACTTACCATCATCATCATCAAATTACTTTTGCGCGTTTGATAACTCGGCATTCAAAGTTACGCGGCATTCGAAGTTAAAAATAAATTACATTAAAGCTACAATTTGATTCAATTTGCAGATTACGCGTAAATATAAAAAAATATCATTAAACAACATTTTGTTAGAATGTGAACGTATATCAATTATCAACGTTTATAATCTCAATATCAACTTTTAATAACGTATCGAAAATTGGCTTAACTGTTCTTAGTTTTAGTAGATTTTTTTCTAATTTTATGATTAATGGCTAAAATTAATATCCTATCCTTATTAATATGTAAACCATAAAATATTAATAATGTAATTATTAGGTAGATCAAAAAATTTTGTAGTAGGATATTCACATCAATGACTTATAGAAATACGTTATATTTGTCGAATCTTAAATTCGTTAGAAGCGAAGGCCAGGAAAACTTAATTAAAAATTATACCCAATTCTTTTAAACTTCACATCATGGGTGGGAATTCGATTCGTATACAAAATATAGAAATTTAACTTAGTGCGGTTATTAATTATCTCTGCCTTAAAAAAATCTACAAAAAGTATTTTTTGAAGAACTGCCTTGTCTACTATTACTTGCCTTGTGAACTACTTTGGCAGACAATGCTCCATGTTATTTTACAATGGCATAGTAGTGCGCTGAATTTAAACACGGCAGAACCGACTACAATGACGACACTCGCTTCGGGCGACCAACCACAGCCACTACGCAAGAAAAGGTTAAAAATTTAAGAAATTAAGGTAGACACGCATGACCATCTGTAATTTGACAGAGATTCTAAAGTGTCCGTTTTGGATAATTCGGTTTATACAACTCATAACTAAAATTCAAGAAAATGCGCGGCGCTTCTCGGTTTCTTAACTTGAATGTTAACAGATACCCAAAAGAAAGCAAGCAAGAGTTGACATTTTAAAGTTAAATTTAACAATAGTTGAAAAGGTTAAATCCTTGGGGCTCCTTCAACATCAGCCAGCACCCGCCCCCCAGTCCTGGCTTTTACTCGTTTCCCTGCCGCCGCTGGGCAGTGTTGTTAGCCGCACTACACACTCGAGATCGATCGCCTTTCCTTTCTACAGTTCGCTTAGAGCAGCAGAATCGAAGACGGCCCCTTTCCCCAGAGCCATAGCAACTAGGGCTGTATCCTTTGTTGCGGTCGCGAACTGGAACTTACTCCCAGGAAGGATATTCTGTATTGATGCCACGCTTGGCAGACAGGTTGGAAACTGCATTTCTTTATTTTCTATTTGTGTAACGGAAGATGCTGCTGCTCATTTCCTTTCTCTGTCACCACTTACGATGTGGATAATAAGGGACACTGTATTCCTTACGCCGCAGCTACACGATGCATTATATTTTGTAGGTCCCTTTCGGGGACACTTTTTAATGAAAACGAGGTATTCCATCTTAGTCCTAAGCAGTGACAACTTTGGAATGACAAATTGCTATTCTTAACCTCTAACGCCAAGCGTTCAAATTTGACCGCTTCGATATTCCGTCAAAATTCAAGAGGTCAAATTGGACCGCTCTCACCCACAGCAATTTAACCCATAAATAGTTATGTTTAGACACTACTTTTCTATGAAGAATTTTGGCATTATAGAATCAATCGTTCATTACGTACGCCATTTTCATGCGGATGTTGTTGTGTTGATTTTTGGATTTTTCTAGTGTTTTAGTATAGTGTTTTATTATAAAATTGTTAGAAAAGTTTCTGTGTGAATATAATTTATCTTTTTACGGAAATAATTTCGCGTAATATATAGAAATAATTGTAATTTTCACGCTGCCGACACCCGCTTGGTATGTTTTTTTTTGTTACCAAAATACAATAAAACCTTGCACATGATTAAAACTCCCCACCAGCACCCATGGTCCCCCGTGACCATGGGTGCTGGAAAGCGCCCGAAAAGTCGGGAATTAAAATAAAAAGTAAAAATAAACAATAAAACCTTTTGTAATGAAGTAAAACTTGGCTTTTGTTTAGACTACAGGATAGAAAATTTTGTATGGAATTTATAATGCCAAAATTCTTCATAGGAAAGTAGTCTCAAAATATACATTTTAATGGTATTAAGTGCTGTGGGCGGGTGCGATCTGCGATGCGGCCGCTCGGGATTTCCAGGCGCATGCGACTGCATGCATGTGAAGTTTAGTGGGATTGAAGGGTTAATGAAGGACATCACACATCAGAAGGAATGTGTACTCATTTTCACTCTTATTCTTATTATTAAAAAAATAGGAAATATTTTGTGTTTACATCCATAAAGATTAAGGCGTCAGGAAGGATTAGCTTTAGGGCGGGTGGTTTTAAGGCTGGCAAAAGCTTTATTGTGCATTAAGTTAAGAATGTTGTTTTATAGGGGATCGTTTTTGGCAAGACAAAGGAAAGTAGTATTTATGAACCTCGGTAAATTACTTAAAAAGAAAATAATGGCTAATCCCGTTTGATTTATCACGATTTTAAAAACCAGTGTCTATGAAACTAAGACGTTAAATTAAGGCTTTTAAATTGAAAGACCCAGCCTATTGTTTCAGAAATCTCACCTCAAAGTTAATTGAGATGTCAAGAATGAAGCCACTGACGTTCGTCATGTTTTAAATAATGCTATGTAGAAATATTCACAAACATTTTTCATAAGTCAAAGTAATCCGTTATGTTTCAGTGCACTATAAAGGAAACCACTCAGTTATTAAACATAAGATCGTTGAAGCGACAGTAGCCTAATGACAGGGCGCAGACCGTGAACTCAATAAGTTCGTGGGTTCGAATCCGGCATTCGACTACTGGCGTGAACCACTCGTAACACAAGCAATTTAAGCTTACCACGAGTGGTTAAGGGGAATATTAGTAATGTTTATAGCATTGTTAATATTCTATTAAAAAAAAAGACAAAAAGCAAGAAAAAAAGAAAGAAAGATAATAAAACGGCTTCATGGCGCAGTGACTCAGCAATTAATTGTGGTGTTGAGAGCGGTGGGTTTGAATTCCGCGTGGGATGAGTATTTATTTGGCATATAATTTTCTGCGTTACAATCGAGTACACAGTCCACCATAAAGTCACACACTTTATGGTAAGTGGATGCTGTGGTCCATAGATATCTATATATATACTCGATTTAGAATTAATTATGGGATGCCAAGCAGATAGCAGTACCCAGCCATCTTCTCTTTTGAAATTAGGATGGGTTTTTTTTTTTAAATTTAATAGATTCGCAATCATCATTAGTAGGAGTCGGTACTTTTGCGAAGATCATCAGTGATATGTTTTCTGCTTAAAGTTTATAATTGTAATTTCAATTGGTGATTGGTTCATAGATGTCTATGGGCCACAGCATCCACTTACCAACAGGTGGACTGTGTGCTCGTTTGTCGCCCTTATTCTATAAAAAAAGCTTTTAAATTCTTATATCTATGACATAGTCTATAAAATATAAAATTCTACGTTTTAATAATTTTTAACACTTGAGTGACCTTAATAGTACCGTAATCTCAAGATAATATAGAATGTCATCATTGACATTATTTCTACCTAAAACTCTTACTTACTTTACTTACTTTCTACTTAAAATTAGAAATAGCCAACAATAAAAAAAACAATCATTAAATCAGTTTACAGCTGGCGAAAATATCGCATAAAATTTAAAAGTAGGTACGAAAATACAGCCGAATTGATGACTCCCTTTTTTGAATTTAATAAACTCACTAAACAGTGTGGTGGCGGTATTCTCAATATCCGCTACCTCTTATCGTCCCGTGGGTGTCGTAATTAACGACAGAGAGAAACTAACACGGGGGTTGTCAACAGCTCTTACTGATAACAACTGAAAATTGTAATAAACTGCGGTCACCAACTCTCTCTCCACGCGTGACAAATACGGCAAAATGCCTTTGTTCAACATTCGACTTTTACCCACAGGCTGTAATGAAATAAAGTCATGTGCATGTGGTCCTTCATTCAATTGTTCTCTATTTAACCTAATTCTAAATTTTATTAGATAATACACTTACTTATATTATTATAAGATATATAGGTGGATTTGTAGGTAGGTCTAGTTTTTCTTATATTCCCATATTCAATTTTAGATTACAGTTGAATGCATCGTCAGAGACACATATACATAGCCTAAAACGGCCAATCATCGTTGAATAGTCAAGGACTTTGAACACTAAGCCACGCTGGTACAGATTAGTAAATAGTTTACCAAACGCTCGTGACTATGTCGGAAATAATAAAACAAGAACGATTAATGCAATAAAACAAACGATATAATATATCGACGATTAATATTTATCTATATGAACACTTCCAAATAATTTTATCGGCAGATAAACCCCGTTGCAAATTCTGGCAAATTGTGGGTAACTTGGTAGTTAGTGTTTAACAATAATATTAATAATATAAAAGGCGTAGGGAAGTGACGACCCCATCGCCCGCTGATATAACGGTTATGTGACAAAACCGCTACGTCGGCGCAGTCAGTCAGCACCTTGCCAAGAGGTGTTAGTGCCGTGCCTCGACAAAAATTGAAGGTGCCAAGGCCCGCTTGTGCACATGGCCTAACCATGAAACGGCGCCGGGTCTGGGCGTCTCCCGCTAAATGACGCCCTAAAATGGATGATGGAATCAAATGGAACGCGCAAAGGGCCGCTGCCTGGAGGTCGCCAGGGCGCGTCTGGAGCTGGCGCTGGACGCGACAGCATGCGAACCGCCAGCCGAGCGCGAGGTGCTGCACGACCACCCAGCAGATCCTCGCATCCATCATCCCCACCAGCTGGCTTGGTGTCGGCAGGGTCTTCGCGGGCTCAGCAATCGGTACCCGCCACTGGTGGAGTACGCCGCATGCGTTGGACAACCCAGATGAACAGCAACGCATTGCGGGCGTATTTTAGGGCGAAAGGGGGAGAAACTGGAGGTTTTGCGTATCGGGCAAGGATGCATCGACTTTTTACTGAGCTGGAGCCATCTGTAACCGTCACCGAGCAAAACCTGGCAGACCGAGTTCGGTATATCTTGCGCTCAAATACATTTGATGTCACCGAACTCGAACGGCTACGACGTGAGGCTGTTCCTTCATCGGGTGAAAATGCTGCGGCTGAGGATGCGGCACCACAACTTGCTGAGCAAACGGCAAATGTGGATGCCGTCGTGAATACGCCAGTTGTGGTTGATTCAAACGATGATGGAACAGTCGCCCAGGAACTGGAACTAAAGCAAATGAGGAGTACATTGGAAGAGGCGATTGTGGAAACGCGCAGTACGACTCTCGAAAATCGACCGCGACTTCCCCGCTTAGCCCTAAGCAAGCGGAATCGGGCTGTCGTGAGGGCTCTGAACCCAATGCTGGTTACCTATTTGGAAGCCAGCCGGGACCTTTGCGATACGGACTCAATTCTTTTTGGCGCCGCACTGGCAGTCTGCCGTATTATAGGTGCCAAACTTTCCACGGCTGGACGCGCTACTGGACAAAGTAGTGCTATCGCAGCCTGGAGAATAAGAATTGAAGAACTTATCGTAAGGGATAGGATCCTCATCGGTAGACTGCTATGCTTCAGGTCAGGCAGGCAGGAATAACAGGCAGAGGATCGTGCGCACCGTCAGGATGGCGTTTGCTGGGACAAATGTTAGTTTGTCCCAGCCGGATATAATGCAAAAACTGACGGAGCGCATAGACGACCTGAAGCAAAGAATAGCTGCTTGGGGAAAGCGGATTCGGCGATATACCGAGAGGTCGACACGGTTCAACCAGAATCGTCTCTTCCAGAGTGATCAGAAGAGGCTCTATAAATCATTGGAGCGACCAATAGTAAGTGGAACGGGCCCTGCACCAAATCAGGCCGACATGGTCGCATTCTGGCGCAGCCTGTGGTCAGAGCCCGTAAACCACAACGAGGGCCCTTGGACGGAAGTTGTGGCGAGTCAGTATGCGAGTATTACGCCCATGGACCCCGTCATCATAACGCCGGATGACGTAGCTGAGGCGGTCCGTAGGGCCCCGAACTGGAAAAGTCCGGGGCTTGACGGGCTGCATCACTACTGGCTGAAGGGGTTCATGGTGTGTCACTCTGTGCTCGCCCGACAGTTTCAAGAGGCTCTCAACCAGAAGTCGCTCCCAAGCCTCTTCACTACTGGGATCACTCATTTGGTTCCTAAAGATCAGGGTGCCACAGACCCGAGCAAATACCGCCCCATCACGTGTCTACCGACCATATACAAGACACTAACATCCATTTTGAGCGCAAGAATCGCTCGTCACCTGGACTTAAATCAGGTGATGTCGCGCGCTCAAAATGGATGTCGGGGCGGCGGTCGTGGAACCAAGGAACCACTCCTCATTGACGCGGTCATTGGCAAAGTGGTGAAACGCAACCGTCGGAACTTCTCCGCCGCCTGGATAGATTACAGAAAGGCATTTGACTCGGTGCCCCATACATGGCTAAAGAGGGTCCTCGAGCTGTACAAGATTGACTGTACAGTTCGAGACTTCCTCGAGCAGTGTATGGGGCAGTGGAGTACGATCCTCTGTCATATAGGCGACCGGATGACGGCTGCGGAAAGCCGCATAATGATAAGAAGGGGTATATTCCAGGGCGACTGTCTGAGTCCAATCTGGTTCTGCCTCTCTTTGAACCCTCTCAGTACTTTACTGGAGGGCTCCGGGAGGGGATTTCAGCTTCGGAAAGGAGGTACAAAAATGACCCACCTTTTCTATATGGATGACCTCAAGTTATTCGCCTCCAGTCGTTCCCATCTTATGGAATTGCTAAACATCACGTGTGAATTTAGCAATTCTATTAGAATGGGGACGGATAAGTGTGCGGTCCTCCATGTTGAAAGGGGAAGGGTTGTTAACTCTGAGGGCATAGACTTATCTATGCCCGTCAACTTACGAACCCTTTCCGAGGCTGAAACATACCGATACCTGGGTATGTCACAGAACATCGGTATCGATGAGGCTGGTATGAAACAGTCAGTTTGCGACGTGTTTTATGCACGCTTGACCAAAGTGCTTAACAGCCTTTTGTCCGGTGTGAATAAGGCACACGCATATAACGGTTGGGTCATGCCTGTCCTCATGTATACCTTTGGCATACTCAGGTGGACTCAGACTGAACTTAACGCCCTGGATAGAAAAGTCCGCACTACCATGACGTCCCATAGGATGCATCATCCGAGATCGTCGGTAATGAGGCTGTACTTGTCGCGGAAGCATGGTGATCGTGGCTTCTTGAGCGCGCTCACCATGCATAATCGCGAAGTGTGCCTCCGTGATTACTTCCTGGCGAGATCGGATGATCCATTCTATAAGGACGTCATTTCTTGTGATAAAGGACTTACCCCTCTATCCTTAGCCAACGAGCATGGCCTCCACTGGCTACGCTTTGGTGATCTCTTCGGGGAAAGCGAGGGTTTTGTCTGTGCAATACAGGATCAGGTTATTAAGACCAACAACTATCGGAGATACATCCTAAAGGATGGCACCGTCGACATCTGTCGAGCTTGTCGCCATCCCGGTGAGTCACTTAGGCATGTTATCTCCGGTTGTTCGGCGCTTTCTAACTCTGAGTACTTGCACAGGCACAACCTAGTAGCCAGAATTCTACACCAGGAGCTCGCTCTGAAATACGGTCTCGTGGATCGGAAATTGCCGTATTACAAGTACTTGCCGGAAGCCGTGCTCGAAAATGATCGCGCCAGGCTCTATTGGGACCGGGCCATCATCACAGACAGGACTATTCTTGCGAATAAGCCTGATATTGTGCTGATGGACCGGGCAAAGTCAAGCATATTTTTGGTCGACATTACCATTCCGTATGACGAGAACCTCGTGAAAGCCGAAACAGACAAGCAAACAAAATATCTGGACCTGGCTCACGAGGTGACCGACAAGTGGGGTGGTCTGCCGACCGAAATTATTCCTGTAGTCGTCTCTGCAAACGGGCTAATCCCAGTCAGCCTCTCGGGTCATCTGAGGCGGCTGGGACTACGTGGCGGACCGCTCCAGGTTCAAATGCAGAAGGCGGTGCTCCTCGATACCGCCCGCATCGTCCGCCGGTTTCTTTCCCTTTCCCCCTAACCCTCGGCCGTTTGGTCTCCCCTGCCGAGGGCCTCCATCTGGTTGGGCTTTTACTTATTTATGTACTTTTATATTTATTTTATGTTATTGATATTTATGTATATTTATCTTTTCATTTTCATTTATAATTATATATTTATAGAACCCAACCAGATGAGAAAACGATATAGATACCCCACATTAATAATAATAATAAAGCTTTATTATATCCAAATTTTACATAGTATTTTGCTTAAATGTAACAGTTTACAAAATGTCTCTCATCCTTGTCATGACTCGAAGTACAAACGAATTTCGTCTTTCCAACTTCTATTTGGACGTCCCTGTCTTCTTATTCCGTGAATCCGGTACCATGGGTTACCATGCACCACTCCTCCATTTATTTATTTTGAAATGGATCTTGTACAGCATAAATGTAGATTACATTTATGCTGGTCAATTCAAGCAAGTATGTCAAGCAGGTTAGTGTTTGTTGAATGTTATTTTGATAAGGAAACATTCTTTTATAATACTGAAGTGATCAATGACCCGACAGCTCACCTGATGGTAAGCGGCCAGTGCAACCACGAACATCTTTAACCAACATTAAACAAAGAAGCTACAAAAGCGTTGTCATTGCTGAAGACGAAGATTTACTCACAGCTTGTAATTGTACTGCTCTCTATAGCCTTCAAACTGGGACACGGCAGTGGTCGCACTGTCGTTTGACGGCGGAAATAAGTAAAAAATCCCGGATGATCTACTAGGCTGAAAAAAAATCCTACTAGTACCTAAATTTTTTTTGCTTTTGTATCTACTAGAAAACTTGATGTGTATACTGGATTTTTTGTTGACGTAATGATAACCACCGAAACAAATTAATATGGATATGTTGTCATTCTGAGAAGTAGTCGATACGAAAATGTCTTTTCGTATTAAATAAAATCAATTTCCATTAAGACGTCATAGGAAAGATTGAACTCGTCCCCAATGTAATAATAATGTCCTCCAGATCAAATTCTGATCATAGCGGCCAGTCTCAACGTTGACTAGCTATCTACGCTGGACAGGGTTATAGTACCCGAGTGACCGAATTTCGTTCACAGCGGCCAGTCTCAACGTTGACTAGCTATCCACGCTGGACAGGGTTATAGTACCCGAGTGGCCGAATTCCGGTCGCAGCGGCCAGTCTCAACGTTGACTAGCTATCCACGCTGGACAGGGTTATAGTACCCGAGTGACCGAATTTCGGTCATAGCGGCCAGTCCCAACGGAGACTAGCTATCTGCGCTGGACAGGGTTATAGTACCCGAGTGACCGAATTCTGGTCACAGCGGCCAGTCTCAACGGAGACTAGCTATCTGCGCTGGACAGGGTTATAGTACCCGAGTGGCCGAATTCCGCTCACAGCGGCCAGTCTCAACGTTGACTAGCTATCCACGCTGGACAGGGTTATAGTACCCGAGTGACCGAATTCCGGTCACAGCGGCCAGTCTCAACGTTGACTAGCTATCCACGCTGGACAGGGTTATAGTACCTGACTGACCGAATTCCGCTCACAGCGGCCAGTCTCACTGCGCTGGACAGGGTTATAGTACCCGAGTGACCGAATTCCGGTCACATCGGCCAGTCTCAACATTGACTAGCTATCCACGCTGGACAGGGTTATTGTACTCGAGTGACCGAATTCTGGCCACAGCGGCCAGTCTCAACGGAGACTAGCTATCTGCGTAAGACAAGGTTATAGTACCCGAGTGGCCGAATTCTGGTCACAGCGGCCAGTCTCAACGGAGACGAGCTATCTGCGCTGGACAAGCTTATAGTACCCGAGGGGCCGAATTCTGGTCACAGCGGCCAGTCTCAACGGAGACTAGCTATCTGCGCTGGACAGGGTTATAATACCCAAGTGACCGAATTCCGGTCACAGCGGCAAGAACAAGTGCATTCTCTATTTCATCAATTTCATAGCCAAATATGATGGCAATTCGACACGACCTTGGAGAAAGTTCAGGTGTAGGTCCATTGGATTTATGTGTTTCCCGATACACGGGGCCGATGCACTGCTTAATTTCCGACTCCAGGCTGCTACTGAGAATATAATATTGACGTAAAACCCAATATTAATTTGCGAATCGTTTTATGTACTTAATTTTGTTTTGTTATTTTTTATTATGTTTGTGTAATGTTTGTATTTTTGCATATTTGTTTTGAGTGCAGGCATAATCACTCAAAAGCTTTATTCTTATTAAATGATCTTGGGCCGACCCAGAGCGAAACCCTGGACCACAGTTACACTACACGACTTCTAGACTAACAAGACAATCCCCAAATGATACACGGAACCAACCTCCGTCGGTTAATAAGACCTAATAGTAATAAGATAAGTCGCATTTATACATTGTAGAGCCATGTTGCAGCTATATTGTGGTTGTGGCATGAATGAGACGGCTCAACCGGGATGGAATCACGCTCTCACAGTATAACAGCGCAATATAAACATTATAATGCTGCATCATTTCGTATGATAACTGTAAAGAACCGACCACACATATTAGTTGAAACGGAGCGTCCCATTTTAGTCCTCAGGAGTGACGAAGCATCTGCATTTTGATTCTGAATAGAGGATAGATGTGGATGTCTATAAACCACAGCATCCACTTACAGGTGGACTGTGTGCACGTTTATCACCCCCATTCTAAAATGATATTTCGTGATCAATTGGCACTTGAAATATCTATTTTCAACTACAGCCCAAAATGGAAAGTGATACAAAAAATATTGAGATCACGATGTAAATGAGTGATAGTCGATAAGTGTGATTAAAATAATCAGTATTGTAAAAATGCCAACTGAAATCTTCTAAGGTCACTCGCTGTCTGTCGCGAAGTTTTGTGAGAGATGGTTGTCAATACTTTTATCCTCACAGCGTGTTCGATTCTCGCTGTGACCTCTGGCAGCAATCACGATGTCTACTCCGGGTAAGTTTTATTATCCACACTCCTTTACTGTAGCTATTAGTATTTAGAAGGTATAAAGAAAAAATAATGGAAGGCGGAACATGAACCCTTTATGCGTAAACGTAACACTCGTCTGGTAAACTACATACATATTTATATATTACGAACGTGCAAAATTTTAAATTTATCAAAGCATATTAGGGATACTATGTTTTAAACCTATACCGTTAAGTTTTCAAACCGAGCGCCGGGTTATTGGTCTAAATTTAAAACAGTCGCATGTAAAACAGTCGTATTTCGCAGCATACAACTGACTGGTTTCAGTACTCCTTTAATTTCTAGGAGAGGTACCTTTCCTTTAATGTCAAGGAAGAATTCGCCACGCTGTTTCAATGTTTTTGTAGAGTGCGATGTAAGGCAGAACTTACATCGCACTCTATAAAAGTTTTAAATTTCTTAGATAATCAAGTTTTCTCAGAAGTTTTCCTTCGTCGCCGAGCAATCGGTAAATCAGCATCCAAAAATACGATATACTGTTTTAGTGCTGACCGGAGTATTTTGCTACGATTTTTCTCCGGTCAGAGTACCGTAATTTCGAAACGGACAGACGTATACGAATAAATAATTCTATTTCATTTCATTGTATTTCAAATATTTCACTTCACTTAATCTTTACTTCGTTTTATTTATTTTTTGTTTAATTTAATTTCATTTCTTTATTCCATTTAATTTCAATTCTGATAAAAATAAAGATAAGTTATGATGAAATTTTATGCATTTTCAGATACACCGTTCACGGTATCAAAGTCAACGATCGCAATGACCACGAACTGTTATTCAAACTTGTTGACTCTTTAAACATTGACATATGGGACCACGGGGCACCAGCTTTGCGAGATGCCATGGTAATGGTAGCACCGGAACGACAAGATGAATTTTTAAAGCAATTAGATCTTGGAGGGGTTTCTCACTATCTTCACCTCGAAGACGTTTCACAGTAATAACTTTATTTTATTATACGATTAGATGTCAACTGATAAATTGTAGTCAGTAATGTCATTTTTATAGTAGCAATACTAAGAGTATTAGCAATGCTGTTACCGCGTTAAAAGTGATTCATGAGTTTACGAGTGTAGTTGAATAGCGGGTTCGAATCCACAATTTTTTTTTAGTTTCGCATTCCGTAAATATTAATATCTCGGATGAAAGCCAAAAATATATGATGCGTTCTAATATTTTTTTCGGTGTGACCTCCAGAAGCTGTAATTAACTTTCCAAAATCATTAAAAATATAGATACAAAATAGATAAATTTTACTTAAATGTAGCGATGTATAAAATGTCTTTCATGCGACCCTTGTCATGAAGTTGAAGAAGTTGTCAAAATGCAGACGAATTTCGTCTTCCCAACTTCTTTTTGGACGTTTCTGTCCTTCCTTGTCCTGTCTCTCCTTCTAATTCCGTGACTTGGGTACCATGGGGTACCTCGCATCATTCCTCCATTTATTTATTTTGAATTGTAGCTTGTGTTCTATCGAGCTACATTTTTGATGGTCAACTCAAGCAAGTAGTGTTTGGTGAATGGTTATTAAGACAAGTAAATAATTTTTAATATCACTAAAGTGAACAATGGACTGCCAGCCCACTTAATGGTAAGTGGATAGTGCTACCACGAACACCCAGAAGCTATAATTAACTGTCCAAAATCATAAAAAATATAGATACTAAAAATTTGATGTTAACACTACTAAGGTTCCCTATCACCACTCCAACTATTCTAAAAAGCTTTTGATAGAAGTGGTTCAGGATATCACGATATTCCGAATGGTGAGTTGGAAGCCACGCCTTTTTTTTTTTGAAAGTCTTATTACGCATCCTTAACCTAATGAGTTACTATCGCTTACAGCCAAACTTTTACTCTTATCAGCTAGATCTAATAATTTTCAAGAATGCATCTACTGAATCTACAATCCTGTCCTGCGCCGATGGCTAGTCTCCGTTGTGGCAGGCCGCCGTGACCGAACTTCGGTCTGGAGGACATTAAAGCATTACGACACATGTTGACAATAATTGATTGTTTTTTAAAATTTCAGAACTCTAAAAGAGCATGATTTAGAAGTTAATTATTGGCGAAGAAATAAAGGAGTCAGGATGCTTCCCTTTGAAGATTATCCCCGATACGCAGAAGTTAGTAGTACATTTTTTATGCAGTGCTTTTTCGCAACTTTGGATTAGGAAAATAGGGCATGAAGTTTTTAATTTAAGTAACAATTTAACGATATTCCAGTTATAACAATGAGCTTATGATATGGTTAGTCCATCAGAAGTGTCAAATATTTAAGCTTAAAAAAGAGAGAGAAAAATCAACTTTACCAAATTAAAATCTGAAAAACGGTTGACCCTGCAGGCCATCCCTGGAATTTCCTGCAGTGTTTGATCTCAAAACGCTCGACAAATATTTTTACAAAATAATGGTAAACTCATTACGTCAAAAACTATCCAAGCAAAAATTTCGAAGATATTAAAAAAAAACTTTGAATTTTTTTGACAACGAAAGCTTTGGAACGAATCAACCGATTTTGATGTAATCCGTGGCAATCGATAAGGTATTTCAAGAAAAATAACAAAATATATTTAAAAAAAACATAGACTAAACTGTAATGCATCTCTGCAGTTATCCTAAAATAATTTTCTAAATCCATTCTACTCTCTCTCTCTCTCTCTCCAAAATTTTATAATCCTGTGATTACAAGCAATTTTCTACTTTTATTTCAAAATATAACGTACTAAATATGTTTTAGTTGGATTTTGCCTTGATCATATTACCACTTCTGCTTTAATTAACACTTTTTTAAAGGAGAGGGGGCAAACAAGCATACGGCTCACCTGACGGTAAGTGATTACCGCCGCCCATGAACAACTGCAACACCAAGGGGATTGCAGATGCGTTGACGACTTTAAAAAAAAGAATAGGCTAGTTTTTTCAGGTCCTTAAGTCGTATCGGTCTGGAAAAATATCTGATGGTATTCGCTTCCACGAGGAAGTTGTGCGAGGAAGAAAATTTCTTTTAAATGGAACGGTAGTGGACCGCCAGTCATCCAGATGGTATGAATGGCATCGCAAGTTTTGACGTGATTTGCAATGGTGAGATTGTGCGGCTGGAATTAGTCCGAACAATTACTTAGAGCACTTAACGTGGTAAATGCGATAAAATACGCAAAGAGATGCAACATCTCTTCGAAGTGCTAGTGAGTCAAGCCGATAGGAAAGAGCTCGGTCGCCGACGATTCGACCAACTCTGAATGGCGATCAAATGGAAGGAGCTGGCACTGGGGAGCTCCAGTTTGTCCCGGTACTCGTCGATTATTTCCCGAGAATTATTGGCACGGCCGATGTGTAAAGCATCACCAGTGCTTTCGTCCGTAAAGCAATGAATGTAACCGATTTGCAACATATGGATATGCAGAAGAAACAGCGTTGGTGATAGCTCGCAGCCTTGTGGAACACCAGCAGTAATGGGCTTTTAATTGGAGCATGCATCGTCTACAATGACCTTGATGCTCCGATCTGCAAAAAAATTGGTGATCCAATTGCACAATTTCTCGTGAAGCTTATAGGAAGGAAGCTTCGTAAGAAGCGCTTTGTGCCGAACCCGATCAAGAGCCTTCGCTATGTCCAAGCTAACGGCCAATGGCTCCCGTTGGACTTGGCTACTGTCTGGCTCTATGAGTTAGTTAACCCAGAAAATCTCCAGCTGAGCGAGCCTGACGGAAATCATACTGGTGGTCACTAATCAGCTGGTGATCCCCAAAGTTCCACATGAGCTGTCAGTTTATAATAGATTCCATTATTTTGGAGAATAAGGAGGTGATAGCGATATGCCTGTGGTTAGACATGCATTAAGCTACTATTTCACGCTGGTGTTCTGTGAGAGCGTGGTCCTTCCCCGGTCGAGCCGACCCATTCGTGCTACAACTATACTACTAATATAACTGCAGCATGGCTCTACCACGTAAAAATTTCCTCGTATTTATTGTGATAGTATTATAATTTTCGTCAAAAATTCTGTTAAAAATCTTGACCTTCACGTCGACACCACACTGAATTGGAGAAATCAGGTTTCAGAAGTGAGTCGTTAGTTTTACACGACACAGATTGCATAACGTATTTTATGAAAAAAAAATATTTTTTTTTTAATTTTCAGATAGATGCGTATTTAGAGAGAATAGCATCACAGTATCCTGATATTGTTACCTTAGTTAATTCTGGACCAAGTTTTGAAGGACGTGACATAAAATATTTGAAGGTAAGAAACATTGTGTGACCGTGTAGTTGCAGTTTAAGAATGTCCCCTACGCCATATTGTCTTGTGGGTGCCGTAAGAGACAAGAAAGGTTAACAATCTGTGAGAAGGGCAGCAGCTTCTTCCAAATAAAATCTGCGCTTGCTTACTTAACTTAACTGCCAAATATGATTTTTCATGCTTATAACCATCATTTTTCACTTGATCTTTCCATTTTACTCCGTCTTAGTTCTTAGGAGTAACAACGCATCTGCATTTTGATTAATAATCTAGGATAAATGTAGATCTCTATGTTCCACAGCATCTACTTATCATCAGGTGAATCGTGTGCTCATTTGTCACCCTAATACCATAAAAAAAATGATAAAGAATAGTGAAAAAAAATTAAAAATTATAACAAAAATTAAGTATTTGTATTTTTATTATAGCCTATCAATCCGTGCGTATTGCAATATAACTTTAATTATATCCACCACCAATTCCACGTTTCTCGTTGTTTCTCTTCATCAGTCTGGATATACGTATGGCAAAACCATGCGGTGTGACTTCACTGTCATCTGTCGAAGCTGTGAATTCTTTCTAGCGTTTCCCTATATCGTCTTAGGTTAGGCTCACTTGGTCTGACGTCATTGAATTTTTATGTATTAAGACAAAAGGCCACCTCTCTGTCTGACGTACGAAAGGGCTTATTCTTCCATTGCAGCACATAAAAATTAACCACTATACATAAACTGGAGGAGGTTTATATATAGTAGTTAATTTTACCTCACCTGGGAAGATTTTTTCCGTAGTATCTTCGCTTCGCAGGGGGGTTGGAACTTGTATTTTTTTATTAAGTATTTTGAGGTGTTATTATCCGCTGCCCATCTCCTGTTTTAGTTTCTCTCTGTGGCCTCTTACGACACCCACAGCACGAACTGGGAGATATTGATAGGAAACCTTTCGTTGGTATTACCCTCTCACTTATTTCTACGGCCAAATAGCAGTGCTTTTGCTGCTATATTTTAATCTGAAGGGTAAAGGGAGTTAGTATAATTACAGACTGTGGGGCAAGGCTGTGGATTTCAAACACATTGAATGAACTTAAGTGTTTATATAAGTACTTATTCTTTTACTATGGGAAAAGAACCAACAAATATTTGATACCCACACTTTTTAATGATCTCGATTGGCTGAGAGAAGATATTACTAGAATAACTAAACAAAAACTAAAAAATTTATTGAAAACTGTTTTCCTTAAAGAAGTTATTGCGAGGTGTAAAAAAGTTAGTAAATCCTAATATTAGTAGTAGTTTCTATAGACCAAATGTTAGTAATTCTTAATAATAGCAGTAGTTTTTTAATAATAGGCTAAATTTTAGTAAATATTTCTTAATAATAGTTTAATACCTGTTTTAAAATTTAAAACTTGCTTTATTTACACTCTTTTATTTTCATTAGTTTATATTTACGTATTTGAACGAAATGTATCAAGACAAGCGCTAATCCCGCCGACAAACTGTTACGCAGTTTGGTGGGTGTGAAAAATGTACAAAAGGTTTGGCCCAGAATAAATTATTTATTTATTTATTTAAATTTTGTCCAATTTCTTTTCCCAGATCTCGACAACAAATTTCACCGACGCCTCGAAACCGATCTACTTCATGAACGCGATGCTGCACGCTCGTGAGTGGGTCACCGCTCCGGTTACTCTTTATTCCATCCATAGGCTAGTCGAGGACGTACGGTCTCAAGATCGAGATCTGCTGGAAAATATTGACTGGATAGTTATGCCGCTGGCCAACCCTGATGGCTACGAATATTCACATACAGATGTAAGTTTCAAAAATTATGTTTCGAATTGTTGTATGCATTTCAAGATTTCTTACCTTACAACTAGGTATACATAGTTATGTACCATATAGTCGCGGTGTAACAATATGCACTAACCTACATCACCCCGTGAGTGCTATACGGGATGAGAGAGGGAAACAAATCAGGGGACGAGCAGCAGCGTATTCCTAATAGACTAAATAAACGTAGCTGTCACGTAGCTTGTCAGGCGTGGCAGCTATGCAAATAGCTCCCCTATGACGCAATCTATGAAGAAGGCCCACGGTCGGCAGTGGATTTTAATGGGATGCAACGATAACTAAGTATCAAATGAGGCTTAGTTAAGTTATCAGTTGATAAACTAACTGGAAAGAAAAAGAAAAATAGCATTAGAAAACAAAAAAATTAAAATAATCGCTATATAATTTAATAGCCTCTGAACTCTATTCGTCCAAGTCAGAGCTTAAATCTCGGATGCTCTGTTTTTTAGAACCATATTTGTAAAAATTATCTTGTTATTTCAATATTTTGAGTCTTTTTTTATTTAATATTTTAACCCATTTAAGTGAACGTACCACACATAATCTCAAAGTGATTTGAAATAAATACTACCGTAACCTCAAGTTGACAAGAACGACGTCTTATATGTAGTTACTTGAAAAAGTTCATTCCTATTTTTCAAATAGACGATGATATCGCTTAACAAACATACAAAATATACTGTCTGTGCTTAAATTTGAGGATCCATTTTTAGTAAGATCGATAAATACGTGATTTTTTTATATATATAAATAATGATCAAGCGAGCAAACATTCTCCACCTGATGGAAAAAAAATGTAGACCATAGACATCTACATTTCTCCCCAATTTAAAAATCAAAACATGCGTTCACACCACTAAGAACTAATATAGAATAATGATAATGGAGGACTAGTCTGGTTCTAATGGTAAGTTCGAAGAACCGACAGCCGAAGGGGAAGAAAGGTTCTCGAGTGGCAACGTCGTACCAGTAAGCGAAGTGTACGACAACGATGTAGGTAACGATGATGAATGATAGCATGTCTGTTGGCAGTCAAATAAAACATCCCAGTAGCACGCAAGCAATATAAGCAGACACTGTATCGTTCTCTTGCTTTATAACAACTAATATTTATTAACCTGTATATATCTTTCCAAAATCAGAGTGATAAAATAGCTGTTTAATAGTGACGATAATGGATTTGGATATAAAACGGGGTTTGTAAAGCCTTTGTACATGCGTTGGATTTAAAGCAGAGCCTATATATATATATATATATATATATATATATATATATATATATATATATATATATATATATATATATATATATATATATATAAGAGGAATAACGAAGATAAAAGCGCTTCAATTGAGTTATAAATATTGCACTTAGCACAGGTTTTACACTAGATATACTTATGAGAATCTTAATAGCGATTATCAGCTATAAATGAACTTCAAATAGTTCAAAATCTATTCTGTCGTAGGGCCACTAACTCGCCCTATTATGTCCGTAATGCCGACCTACAACGAGACTTAGAGCTCCCAACAATCCAGCAGTTCCTTAAATCACTCTCTGAGAGATTTTTCAAAGCCCCAGAGTCCCACCCAAATCATCTCATTCGTGAGACAGCTGCCTATGCAGCCCCTATCCACACTCGCTATAGTGTGCGCAGACCGAGAAACTCTCTCTCGGACCCCCCCCCCCCCAACAACCCCCAACCCACCCAACACCTTCTAATTTCGGCCCTCCTTTCTGCCAAGGAGGGTCGCGTTCGTATACGGCTTAGAAATCTCTAGTTAGACCGTTAAGCCAGGCCCTAAAAGATGGGGTTTAGTGGGTAAGTCTCCACATAACCACGCAGCCGGCTGCGTGGTATGCTATGAGCATTCCCCACCTTCCTCCCCCGTTTTACGGAGGGTTGCCCATATTTGCTTCGGGCGCAAAAAAAAAAACATATTGTAGAATTGACAGAAGCACCAAAAGCGGTATATATTTTTTTTAAATATAACGTGTAAATATAGCCATTGTCTGCATTAGGCACGCTAGATATTTTATTTTATTTTATTTTATATGAGTTTTTAATCCATCCTGTATTACCATTAATAAAATAAAGTCTTTTTACAATACTTTTCATAACTTTACGAATTATTGATTATTTTATTTTACGTGTGTTAATAAAATGTATTCAAATTACAAACGGACCTAAAAAAAATTATTGCACTTTATTAAAATAAATTACAACCAATTTCACAGATTGCATCAATCTTACTTCACACTAATCACTTTATTGTACGCGGTAGAGCTACGCTGCAGCTATATTATGGTTGTAGCACGAATGGGTCAGCTCGATTGGGGAGGGACTACGCTCTCACAGAATACCAGCGTTAAATAGCAGCTTAATACTGTTGTGTTTCGTATGGTGAGTGTAGAGATCCGGAGACTGTTTTTTTTATAGGAAACGAGGCACTTCATCTTAGTCCTCAGGGGTGACAACGCATCTGCGTTATGATCCTTAATCGAGGATAAATGTAGGAGTCTATGGGCCGCAGCATCCACTTACACTCAGGTGGACTGTGTGCTCGTTTGTCACCCTTACCAACATTACAACACCCTCACCAACATTACTCATCATGATCAATTTGATATAATATTTGTCATTTATGTCTGTAACTATAACTCTTATATAGGTATATTATTATGTTAAAAAAACTTTAAGATGCTTTAAGCTTTAGTTACGAGTTACAGTCGCGTCAAAAATATGTGCAAATGCTATAAAGCTTGCTCTTATCTATCATTTATCACCTTTGTATCGCCTTACAAATTTACGATGCCGCTATCGTATCCCTACTGTAGCACTAAAGGTCGTATAAAACGGGCACGTTTTTAGTGGCATAGAAGCGATTCAGAAGTTCTCTATCGCTACTGTAGCACTTATTTATGAAAGTAAAGCCATTACATATACCTGATAAGCGGCTGTTTAAGCGCGTTGTTACACCCCTTGCGTGCTACTTGGGAAAGACGCAGTATCGGGTACTTTATTGTTAATTAATTAAAAAATATAGTTTACTTGTAAAACACTTCAATTGCATAAATATACATTTTCTCAGGAACGATTGTGGCGACGCACGCGCTCGTTCAATCCATCTGTCAGTACAACTTGCTACGGTGTCGACGCCAATCGCAACTTCAATGTATCTCACAACACGCTCGGCGTTTCCTCTGATCCCTGTTCTAATGTTTACCCCGGTCATGTCCCATTCTCAGAAGTAGAAACGGGATACATCAGGGATATCCTGCTGGAATACGTGGACCGCATACAATTATACCTCGATATCCACAGTCATGGGAATTACATATTGTTTGGCTATGGAGATACTAGTCTCCCACCCAATGTCCTACATTTGCACCATGTGGGAGCTGTGATGGGGTCTGCAATTGATGCCCTCAAATTACCTGAAGAGCGATACTATTTGGTGGGGAACAGTGCTTTGGTTCTGTATGTATCTTCTGGAAGTGCTCAGGATTATGGACAAGTAAGTTAAAACAAAAAGAAAATTTCAACTTTTTTCTCATAGAAGTTGTCCAGTACGGCCTGTTAATATAAAATTGGCGACTCTGGTAAGTCTTACATATGAGAATAACAGTCTTTCAGCATGACTGATCAGCCGACATAATAAAATAAGTTGTAATAGCAATATGATATAAGTTGTAACAATAATATAATTTGTTAAATTGACAATTAAATAGAAAGAAAACGATTATCACACTTTCTATAAAATTAACAGAAAAGAAAAGAACATGCGTGAAGAGTAAAGTTTCTTGCTGGTTCTTCACTTCCGAGGTCTGACTTAAACCACGATAATCAGTGATTAAGTTTGAAAGAGTGAACCGAGGGAGCTTTTAAAAAGATCATACGACCGATAATAAATGTAGTTACTAATTAATATACGAAACAAAATATAAAAATTTGCTCCGTGGTGACATTTTGTCCCATTGGTACCGTAAGAAGCGACTATGGGAAAAGGTAGATAAATCTTAAATTGATAATCTTAAATTGATGATCTTAGATGATGATCTTAGATTAAATCTTTGGTTTCCAAAAGATGGCAGTACAAGCATTTCAACATTGTCGAGTCACCCTGCAGCTGTATTGTGGTTGTAGCACGAATGGGTCTACTTGACCGTGGAAGGACCACACTTTCACAGAATACAAACATGAAATAGCAAAACAATGCTGCTGTGTTTCGTACGGTGATTGTTAAAAATCGAATACTGTTTTTACTGGAAACAAGACATTCTATTTTATTCATCAAGAGTGACAATTGATTACTGATCGAGGATAGATGTAGATGTCTATGTCTCATAACTTTGTAACGGAGTGTCAGATTGAAAACGGTTTATGGCATCTATAAGTCTTGCTGAACTTGGAGTTTTTGTGAATTTAGACCGAATCGTTACAGTAGATTCTGAGAAAACCTAAAAGTTCAAGGTCTTCTAATTTTCAAAAAATGTTTATCTTGGAATTACTTCCACACTCTTGTATTGATTAATTCTATAATGTTATCAATTCTTCTACGTACAAAACGACGTCGATTGCCGTAAACCACATCAAAATCAGTTTATTACTTTGAGAGATATCACTGATGAAAAAAATCTCGAAAAAGTGTTTTTTTTTAAATAACTTTAAAAAATTTCGTCATATCTATTTTTGTAATTAGTTTCTTTGTTTAGTTGAAAAAACTGTGTCAATTACTGCAAAACCCATCAAAATCGGTTGATCCTGTAGCTCGTAGAGCTCAAAAACGTCGTAACAGGTTCAGGTAAAATTGAAATACAGAATTGCCACCCCTGAGGAATAAGATGAAATGCCTTGTTATCAGTAAAAAAAGTTCTCCGGTTCTCTACGCTTACCATACGAAACATAGCAGCTATTGTACGCTCGCTGGTGTTCTGTAACAGCGTCCAGCATGACTCTACCATGTAAAACTTTTAAATAAAATTTAATGGTAACAATTGAACGGCTGTTCCCACAATATTAAATTGACCAACTCTGTCCCTCAACCCAAAATTGCAATAAATTGAGCCATTTCGATGTTATTAATATTTTGAAACATTTAATTTGCTAGCTCGTGGGTGTTCCGTTCTCCTACACCTTAGAACTGCCAGGCTATGGACAGGCATTCACAGTGCCACCACAATATATCGAGCAGATCAACGAAGAAACCTGGCATGGTATAGCAGCGTCAGCGAGGGCTTCTCTTATTCACTATAAAGCCCGGTTCAACAACTGACCTTGGTCACAAAAATATGCAACAAATTATTAATGATTATATTTATGTACAACTATAAAAAATTATAGAATTTAATTTACATTAGATTTTTTATTAGTTCATCAGTAAGACGTCTAATAATGTCTTCTTCCCGTTACCCTATACATCCTACTAAAGTCCACTGCTGAACATAGGCCTCCTCCATATATTGCCTCGTGGGGGGATATTTTCCATAGTTGCCACGCTTGTCTAGCGGTTTGGCAACTGGTCTAAAAGGCCAGAGAAAAGTTTCTTCATATTTTGTATACAAATTCAATTATGTTTTAATAACAGATCCTTTATAGATGAGGGTACTAGACGCAACAAACAAATATACAGTGATTGGATGTGCTAGCGGCATGCTTATACACAGAAGACCTAATTGTTGGATTTGATCTAACATGAGTAGCATGTAGGTTTTGTTGTGGAAGAGGGGCAGCTTAGGAATATTGAGATTGCTACTTGATCCAACATCAGGCATAATAGCTTCTGACAGACTAGGGTGATAAGAGTTGTGCTGATCACGACTTTGCACTTCTCTTGTAGCTGATTTCCAGCAAGCAGCACATACTCTTTCCAATCTTGAGATCTAAAAATAACACAATTAAAGATGTAATATGAAACATTTCATTTCAGAGGATATAAACTTGATAAAAGTATGTACTGTAATGTGATGTAAATGTTAGGAATACATTTTTTTATAAGATAGGATGGCAAACGAGCACAAAGTCCACCTGATGGTAATTAGTATTTGCTGTGGCTCATAGACATCTACATATATTCTCTATTACAAACCAAAATGCAGATGCACTGTCACCACTGAGGACTACGATGGAATGCCTTGTTCCCAGTAAAAAGGGTCTCTGGTTCTTTACACTCACTATACGAAACATAGCAGTATTAAGCTGTTATTTCACGATGGTATTATGTGAGAGCATGTACTTACGCAGTCAAGCCGACACATTCATGCTACAAATATACTGCTAATATAGTTGCAGCATGGCCCTCCATGTATGATAACGATCAGGCAACACAACACAACATTATTTATTTGTGAAACCTTCACTTATTGGGACTCGATATAATAAACACATCTAATTACAGTATTATAACTAAAAACTAAAGAAGACTAGAGAAAATAAGTGTCAAACACTCTGTACAAAGCACACATTCTGAAGACAACTGCAATAAAAACCATGAATTAAAAAGTGTGTTTTTAACCCTTTTGACATTATCTGTCTTCTGTAACATATTCATAGAAGTTACATCTATATGTAATCAAGAGTAAATCCTTTTTTGGCCTTAAACAGGTTCGTTTTTTGTTATTGCCTGTGCTGTCTAAAATAAATATTTCTTTCATTCTATAAAAATGTTTTGCAAGACGGTACGTTGGTAGAGATCTGACATTCTTAGGTATATATTCAAAGAGTAAAATAAGATCTGATACCTAAGTAGGAGTTATCCACTTATTGGATTTAGAATCGTTTGGCGGGAATTTGGAGGAGTAAGGTGTTTTATTTGGTAGAGGTTTTGTCCCCGATTATAATAATACCACAGACATTAAAAGGTAATGCATCGTTTTCGAAAAAATAAATAAAAACTAATACCTATAACCTAAAATACGTAAAGTATGGAAAAAGCGTAGACAGAGACTCTGGGTGCGTTTGGCAGAAACTAGCAAGCGGGAAAATAGACAAAATCCGCCATTTTGCTTATTTAATTTGTGTTTAAGTGAATATATACATGCTATTAAATACTCATGAGATTTGAAATGAATACACCATAAGAGGAAAGTACATGATTCACCTACCGCTACATCGCCTTTGCTTACAAGCGCGCGCTTTACACCCCCAATGATACCATTTTTTATTATAAACTGACTTTACGTCTCTGGGTTCTAGCCTTTCTGAGAAAAAATTATACGATATAACGATATTACTGTGAAAGCTGGATAGCATAGGTACAGAATTTTTTGTCTGTGGCGGGAGTATGATAAGTGTAGACATCTGGAGACTTTTTACGGGAAGCAAGGCATTCCATATTAGTTCCATCATAAGAGGTGAATTTCTGGCAGTTGACTTTAAGGGTATATAGTAGTCAGCTCAAATTCTTATTTCGCCCCCACTTGCCCGCTCGTCGTATGCTATGTAAAATAATAGGTCGTTAGATACTTATTTCATTAGGTTTATCATATTTATCGTTTCTTAACGCCAACCCAGTCGCTTCTTATTTTTATCACGGTTATTTCCCATTTTAATTTTACGTCGTCCTGTTGCGTAATGTGTATTCTGATCGTAAGCGACACAACTTCTGCCTTCAAAAGCCTAAGCGATACTAACGGGGCGACAGGAATTAAGCTTCAAGGCGCCAATAGTTTAGGTAATTTCTTTTTACAGTGAAAATAATGGTATTTAAAAAAATTAAATAACATAAGCACTGCTTTATAGTTAGTTCAGTTAGTATGCAAAGTTTCATGATCTTATTTAAAGTATTTTGTGAATAACAGCGGTTTATTGTTCGGTTTGGAGGTAAGTTTGGATTTTTTTTCTATCGAGAAAATTTTACGGAATCGTGTTTTCGTCTGACATAGTCCTTAACATTAATCCTCAACTTTATCATATATTTATTTCAAAATTAATGCTGCAATATTTTCGGCATAACGGAGGATCTTGCTAAGCCATTTGAGGTTATATTTCCCCTTAACATATGATGAAGAATACAAATACAACGTGTTGAACAAAACCGTTATAATGGTCATAGGTGTTATGGGTGCTGCAAAGCACTGACAATATTGGAAGTTAAAAGTAAGAAATTCAAATGGGATAATATCCATATAAGTTTTATAAAAACTTTTTTTGCCTTTAGTGGTTTTGTTTCCTTTTATTCTACTGTTAACGAAACTTACTTTATCATCATCAATACAGCCCTTTATAAGTCCGTAACTGAACATAGGCCTCCCCAAGGAATAACAAAGCACAGTCCTGAGCCACCAGCGTCTATCGACTTCCTGTATATCTTACCATATTGTCACACATACATCTAGTGGGGGCCTGTCCTACACTTTGGCTACCGGCACAAGGCTGCAACTTGAGAACCTTTCTCCTCCATTGGTTGTCGGTTCTTCGAGCTGAGTTGACAGTCCATTGCAACTTCAGATTATTAATCCGCTATGTCACTTACTCTGGTTCTACTGCAAATACCCTAATTTCTAAGTTTATCATGTGGTAAATCTCTGAGCACAGCTCACTCCATAGCACTCTAAGCGACCTTGAGCTTCCTTATATGTCCAGCAGTAAACCACATCTCAGCTCCATATGTCATCACTGTCAACACATACAAGAATAACTTTGTAGTTGCAATTAGTAAATAATGCAATACCTTACATAACCCACTATTGTAATGTGCCTCATTAATGTCATTTTTATTTATAGGTATTCTGCCGTGATGCCATCTAATTTATAAAATATTAAAATGATGGAGGTTGACACCTCAAAAATTTTTGAGAGATGGTAAGTGATATTTTTCAGAGAAGGTATATTCAGATATATATTTATTTGACTGAATATTTTGTGTGTTACACTCGATGACTTTTATTAGATACAGATTTAGTGTTTTAAGTAAATGATACTTTATGATTCCTTATATTTACTCGAACACTACACATTGAATAAAACTACTTGTACAGATCTTATCGCGTTAAAGTTAGTTGATTTTAATTCCCGACGTTTCAGGTGCTTTACAGCATGGTTATGGGGTGATATGAGGTGATTGGCCTCCCAACATCAGTGTTACCCAGAGTACCCGAGAACCCCTGGAAAGCACCCGAAATTAAATTAAAATCATCTAAATGAAACGCGATAAAAGTAGTTATATTAAATGATACATTTTTAACCTTACACTTGCATAATAATTTTTAAAATGTTTAAAAACATAAGATGGTATTTCGACTTTTAATAAATTGTTTTATTGCACTTGACATACTAGTAGCAACAACATTAAATGGTGTGTGACTAACTTAACTAAACTCCTGACAATTATCTTTCATATGCATGATACATTTAAGCGCAATTATGAATCTATCAAAGTGAGATTTCCTATCAGAATAAAAATTACCTCATATCTAAATCATGTAACTGAGGAAAGAGTTATTTATATTTAATCTATTTTCAGTACATACATACGTAAACACTCACGCCCGTCACCCAGAGGGGTAGGCATGGAGGCGCCGTATTCTACTATAGAAATAATAATTATACAAATATTTAAAACATCGGCACACACTTGTCAAAAATACTTTTGTTTCTTTTTAACAAAGCAGTAGCTTCATTAGAAAAGGGAGACAACAACAGTTTGTCAATTGCTTTCGTTTAGCCATGTTAAGTGCTGAGTTTTGTGGTAGATCTGCTGTCAAACTGTTGAATGCTAAAATTATTTTTGTTGTGTAGTGCAGTGCCTTCATCTTATCTTATAGTAGGTGTATCTTCTATTTATATTTTATTATGTTACTAGATAACCACCTAAATTTGATTTGATTGTAACTCTTAATTGGGAGGCATTTCTGAGTTTTTGCAAAACTACCGTACGGCAATTGATTTTTAAATTAAAATAATTTTGTAAAGCATAATTAAATCACGTCACGTGTTATAAATAATAATAATATATTATATAATATTTGTGATGAATTATGTGCAGATAAATTAATAATAAATATGTATTGATTTTTAAAACAGTTTATTTCATTTTTACTCAACTAATCATTATTATTTTACATTAATAATATGAGATCTGGGATCACCATCCCAGTAATACTATAAACACAAAAGAAGGATTTAATTTCTATCGACACAAAAGCCATAAATCTGTCGGTCACATTTATTTGCCAGATAAGTTATTTGACGATTGAAAATCCAGCCCTGTATATAAAATAAATGTAAAAAGTAAAGAAAGTAAATGTGTAATACCTACAAAATAAAGTAAATTAA